TTTAATGAACTTCCACAAAAACTTTCAACAAAATGAATTTATTTTTCACAAAAATGCAAATTAGGATAAAAATTTTAAATCAACAGTGCACTCGTCCCATCTAAACCACTGCTTCTCTTAAATGGACAGTCGATCGGACACTCACAACAGCAGACCAGCAAGGACATTTGATGCCAAAGTACTTCTTCAGTCCTGCTCCCTGGATCATCATCAGTACACTTTTTATGATTTCATGTAACACTAATCAATTTATTTCATCTCGGACTTATTGTTCTTTCAACGTCATTCCTAGTTGCATTTGCGTCAACAAACTCTTTCTTTCGTGCAGGCTTTTAAAAATGATGTTAACACGTTACTACAACTGTTTTTGAGCAATTCCTGGCCGTAGAAACCGACCGGATTTTGTGCTCATGTTAAAAGTAAATGTTCCAATGCGATTATGAAACGATGTAACAGCGGCCTAACCTAGACGATTCTTTCACTGTTAACTAAGTACTCTCTGTACTCAATAATATTATGAAATGAGCAAATGGAGAATCATTTTATTTTATTACAATTTGAGTTAAAATTGTTCTAGCTGCCAGCCAATTATATAATGACAAGCCAATCACTTATTACTCAGAGAAATATTAAATTTTTAAATGTTACAAAGCATTAGTGTGATAACGTAGCATTTAAAGAATATTGATCCATTGATTAAGTAAAACCGTCACCTTCACATTATTTCTACGTTCATTGGTTCATTCATTTGAAGGTCTATACTTAAGTATTTTTATAAAAAGCATTTCATTCGTTTGTTACTTCTGTCGTAATAATGTTTTGTTTATTAATATTATAACTAGGGAATGTTACTAATTTTATTATTCTTACAACAATTTCAACCACCGAGACTCACACTTTTCCACTACGTATTATCTGATCCATTTCATCCATTAGTTCATTCATTCACTCATCATTTCGTTCATTCCTTCGTTCATCTATTCATTTTCTTTCGTTCGTTTATAGATTTCTTCATAGGAGTCTAGTCACAATAATTTATCTTCGACGCTGCCTGCCTGCTATTATGTTTGAATATCAATTCAACACCAACCCACACAAACAAATCATCTCCACCATTCTCTGTCCTCTCTTCTTCTCCCTCTTTCTCCTCCTCATTAATTGAAATCACATTTTGCATGCTATATTAACCTGCACACACAAACACGCTCACACCACACAATATATGTATATATATATTTCAGAATAAATGATTTCAAAGATACTCAACATATATGATCGTTGGTCTGCCTGCTTACTACCTTACAAACAATATCTCTCGACAGATGAGTTCATCCCAATGAGAGTTATAAAAAGTTAAAAAATAAACAACAAACATACTTTTCCAAGAAATTTCACATGTCCATTATGTGGAAACGTGCCAGTGACCGCGAACATCTCCAACTAAAACCTTCTCCACCTGGCGTGGAACTATATTTTAAAACCTATTAACACATTTATTGGATGGGAAATTAGGCACAAAAAATTAAGTCACGCACTCACGGGGCAAAAAACAGTTCAATGTTTGTACAAACAATTATTCTCTACGATAATAATAAGGTGACATTCATTCTTTCTTTCATTCATTCTTCCTTTCATTCATTCAGATCTCTTCAAACAAACATACGAGCTGGCGCATCATAATTCCCTTCTGTTTTTTTTAGTTTATTATATATATATATATATAGCGAGAGAGAGAGAGAGAGAGAGAGAGAGAGAGAGAGAGAGAGAGAGAGAGAGAGGTAGAAGACGAAAGGAGTAAGAAAATAATTTGTGCTCTGATAATTTGTATGAATCCAATTTGATTCATTGGAGAGGTTGGAAGCAAATGTCCACTTGACCACTAATCAGCAACAATAACAACAATAACATGATCGTTAATAATTCTTGTGGTAATAGTGAGACAGACAGCAGTAACAGTAGTAGTAATAGTAACAAGAATTTTCTATTTATTTCGATAGAATATTAAAGGCAAAATTGCCTGTCCATCATTCCTCTGTTGTCCATTCCTTCATTATTCCAATAAAAAAGAATGAGGTCTCCGAGTCTGTTTATTGAATTTATTTGTATGCACTCATTCATGTGCGCAGACGTGTGCGTACGCAAATGTGTAGACATCTTCATGCTCGCATGGTAAAACCTGTGCTAATATGTGCAATTATTTGTGTTTAAATGATCTACCCTTTATATAATTTCACAGCGATTAACTTTGTTAGAATTTAAGAATAATTCAGCTGTAAACAAATGCTTCGCAGCCTCTTGGAGACACGATCATGCTCCCCTGATACAAGCCAGTCGTTAACTTTCGAATTTTTTGAAGATCGCCACCTCATTTTTTTCTATTAAAACAACAATCAGACGATAGTGTGTTTTAATTGGAAAAATTATTTTCGGTCAGTAAATAAAAAAATCATAATAGACTTTATTCGCAGGTTGAACATATTTTAGAAAAGGATTATTAAATATTTTTTGCTTTTATTAATTAATTTTTATTATTTATTTTTATTTATTAATTTATTGTTTTATTTAATTTAGATTCATGTAACTACATAGATCTCGTGACCCTGATACACTCCCTAAGTTATATCTTCCAAAAATTTTAAAAGTTGCAAAAACTGCAGAACATCCAGGTATGAAAACAAATTGACTTAAAAAAAACATTTTTTAAGGAAATATTTCATAATATTTATCAGTGCTTCCATAATTTTACAACTAATCAATGTGAGTGCCACAGGGCGATAGTTCTGGGCCAGGTCTTTTCTTCCCTTCTTATACAACGGTACCACATGACTTAACCTTTGATCATCGAAAACAACACTTTTATCTAATGATCGTTAAAATATCCTGCATAGATAAGTACTAATCGAACCTCGCATTTCCACCAAAACTCTAGGATGTTTTTCATTTGGGCCTTGATCCTGTATATTTGTTAGTGTTCAATTTTTCCAATTTTGCCGATACCGTTGCTTCATTTATTACTACTATACCTTGCAAAATCATGATCAAAATGAGTGTCATCATCAAAAAAAAAAAAAAAATCTTGCAAATATTTCAACTTTATTTTTTAAATCAGTAATTATTTTTTATTTTACTGATAGTAGACCAACCAACTCATCATGTCAGTATAATTTTTTTACAAAATTCCAGAAAGGCCTGGGGTTATTTTTATATTTTCTGGCAATTCTGTCTTGTTCTTTCTCTATCTGTGTATAGACCTTCAGAGTAAATGCTTCTGTTTGATCAACTCTTTGGGCTTATTGTCCACATTAAATTTATAATTAGTGTTTTTCCAATTTTTGGAACGTATTCTTAAGTACATTTAGTCATTTCGTCTTTAAAAATTTCAACTACTTTCTGCATCTTCAATTAAATCAGATGGAAATTCCATTGCATGGTTACAGGATCCTTATGAAAGTCAAGTAATTTCCTGAAAACTCTTTTTTACTTTTCACATCGAAATATTCAAAACCAGTAATTTTTAAACCAACAACTCAGTGATCACTATTTTCTAGTAATGGAAGTGTAATTGTAATATGCTTCTAATAAATTCCTGATTTGATGCCACTAGATCGAAGAGGCTTACTCTTTGACTATTTTTAAATATTTCGTCCGTAGATTGAAGTGTTATAACAAAAATCTGTCCGTTAAAATATTTAAAAAATCTATTTTCCATCCTTTTGTTACCACCCCTGCAACTGAGCGAAAAAAGTTTGAATGTTTATTTTTTAGGAAGTCTTTGAAAAACGCGTTTGTAAACACGATCTTGGTCAATTGACAAGCATCCCATAAATGTTTAGTTTACCCTAGAAAATATTTTTTGCCCAAAGTACTTAACTTTTTGTTTTGACATTCCAACTGTCAAAAAAATACGTCCTACTTAATCAAATTAACCCAAGCATTTGCTGATATTTGCTTATGTTATTCTTTACCTTCCGAACTCAGTCATTTGTTTGAAGTGTCAGTAAACGGATGACTTCAAATCAGATGAAGATAAAAAAAAGTTTGCCACTTCTTTTTGAACAACACAGATTTGAAGCAATATTTCACAAAAAGAACAGAACAGTAAAAATATCATGTAGCCTGCTGCAGCTGTATCAGAATGGTATCGCAGTTTTTCCTTTTATATGGTTCGCACGATTCCCTTCGTTAGTTTGTGGTGTTTTATTTATTATTGAAGATTGTTAGTTTTAGTCGTTAGGATTTTCAATCCGACAATACTTTCTCGCCAGATCGTCTCGTGTGTGTTGGCAAACGTGATGGATGAGGTTGAATTGCTGGGATCAATCCTTTATTGTTGTATCGAAGATTCGCATTGGTGTGGCAACTCCCGTTGTTTGTTTCTTCGATCTCGTCGGGGTCAACGATTTGTTGCTGTTGCGCTGATGTAAGAGAACACCGAACCAGGAAGAGCAGTGAGCGGGAGTGAAAAGAAGAAAAAACAGTATTCGTTTGGATAGGCTGGGCATGTATCGTCCCTACCGGGGACTCATCAGCAGCTCGAATACCTATCAGAATAGTTATCGCAGTTTTTCCTTTTAATATAGCTCCCACGAATCATTTCGTTAGTTTGTGGTGTTTTTTTTATTGAAGATTGTTAGTTTTACTCGTTAGGATTTTTGATCTGACATGCCAAAACTTTATAATGTCCTCTGCCATGTTATGAACAATCCAATATACAGTTTCTAATTGAAAATATGTATATTACTTCATACAAATATTATAAAGTTGTAAGTAATTTTTGATTTAAAATATTAAAAAACAACATTTATAAGCGTTTAATTTATAATGTGCTAGTTTTTTGTTCAACGTAAACTGGCCATCCATCAAATCTTGGGCATAAAATGAAGGTCTAACAGTGTCGTTTTTCACAGCAGAACCAACGTTCTGTTAAGTTTTATGTTTTATATTAAAACATTATGATTTATAATATACATTTATTTTTCTTTAGACCAAATGTTCTTTGCTTTGTATGTAACTTCACTTTTTCCTTTTCTGTTGATCCGGTGGATAATAAACAAGTCGAGAACGTTGCTTGGTTTATTTCTCTTCTTTTAATGTCTTTCAATATTATATCAATTAATTAAACGATCTACGTAACAAGAAATTTAACACGTTCCAATAAAGTCCTATTTAAAGTAGGCTGGTAATGAGGGCGTGATAAAAATTTTTTGAGAAAATTTTTACTGAAGTGCTAATTGTGCTACAGCATGGTGGTTTGTTTACTTTTGATTTCAAATGTTCAACATGTTGCAAAGTTGATGAAATGTGCAACAACGCTGTGTGAAACTGTTACTAACCCATGTGATGAGCTGGCACCAGAAAATTTCAATGTAGCAAAAACTCCACAACTATTTGTTCAACTTTTTTCAAACATCAGTCTTTAACTTGCAATTTCTCTACTATCACAGTTGATTTTCTTTAGAATTGGGTGCACCGCCATCCACAGCATGTTTAAAATGGCGGGAAAGTTGCTCGCACTCAAGCAGTAACATTGATAAAACTGGTAAGGCACGTACGCATAAATCTACGTATTATATAAAAATATGTGTAGGAGGTAGAATGTCGAACGAGCTTGTTTTTTATCATGAAAAGGGAAATACGCACGCACAGGCACACGAACGCACGCACACACACACACACGCGCACACAATATTTGTGTATATATAGATAGTTTAAATTTGTTTGTGAATTGCAGAAATTATTTTACAAAAAAAAGACCTCAAAAAGTCTGCGATTTTCTAACGAAATTGTTGGGTAGGTACGCTTGTACATATGTGCATAGGTTTATGATGCTTATATTTTTGGTCTTGTGTATGTATATACCTAGAGTAGAGATAGTGTGTGTATGTTCGTTGGCGTGTATGTTTGTATGTATGTATGTATGTATGTATGTATGTATGTATGTATGTATGTATGTATGTATGTATGTATGTATGTATGTATGTATGTATGTATGTATGTATGTATGTATGTATGTATGTAAATTTAAATTTTTCCAATTTTTCACCCCAGAAAATATTACGTTTATTGCAAGGAAATAGGAAAGAGCCTAGAAAGTCGATGTCATTTTTAGGAAATTTAATTTTGAAAGAATTTTCTATTAAGTTTGGATGATTTGTGAAGAATTCGCATTTTTTAAAGTTTAATTTCAAACCCACATCAGTCTCACGACCCACAATTGAATTCAAATCCCTCAGCACATTTTTAATCTTTCCACCAAGTGAAATGTCATCCAAGTAGGCGACAATGAATTTGGATTCCAAAGACTTCAACAGAGGGTTGATTGCAAGAAAGAAGAGCAATGGACCCAGTGGGTCACCTTGCTGAACTCCTTCCTCTGACAAAATCTTTGTGCCACTAAAAGACAGAATGGATGGCTTATCATAAGCCGACTAACAAAAGTTGTACAACTCTGGCACAACCGACTTCACCGTGAGCAGCAAGCCTTAGGGAGTTAAACGCATTGGAAAAATCCAGTTTCAAAAAACATTCATCATCATCCATGTTATCAACAAAACGTCTAGCGGCGTGAATCGCTCCCTCTGCGCCACCGCTAACACCAACGCCTACCTGCTGAGGTTGAAGCAGGAGGACAACTCTGTCTTTAATGATGTGCATGGCACATTTCGCAGCCAAACGCCTCCAAACACAACCAACTACAATTGGCCTGATACCCCCATCTTTTTTTAACAGAGCAACCAGTCTTCCACCAAACAAAATAGGAGCCACCTCTGGCCGACAGTTCCCGCTTAGAATCAGGTTGACAAATGAGGCAATCAAATTTACTAGATCAGAAGAGTCTGCTTTTGAAGACGTAACGTCTCTTAGATGTGCAGGCGTGAGACCATCTCTGCCGTCAGAAGTTCCCTTAGGAAAAGACTTTAAACAGTGCAGCACCTGTTGTGAATTAACCGTTAAGCTTGAAGCCTCTTTGGTTAGACATTCCTTTCTGTTTGAGGGAGCGTTTAGATGTTTCTCCCTTAGGAAACCTATGGTTTCTTCCGTAACCGGTGCAACTGTATCTGTTGAAGACAATAGCTGTAGCGCGTTTCGAATGTTTCCTTTTTCAATTTTGGATCTAACGGATGAAATCATTTTAGCTTCGTTTTAGCACCACCGGAGGCCTGGCGAGAGAGCCGGGACACTCAGAACCCTTAACTTAAGTGCCCCATCTGGGCGGGTACGAAAATGCATATTGCAAACATGGCAACGGGTAAGACCTGAGCCAGTTGCTTGACTAGGAGACATAATGCAGGATGGAGCGCCTGAACGGAATGGTTCAACCAAGGTTAACAAGTCAAGCCAATTCAAATATTGGCGTAGTTAAAACCAAGTTAAAATTAAACAACCTAGAGGGAACGAAAACAAAAAATGGTTTGTTTTTGTTCAAAACAAGCAAAATGGAATTGTGGTGTAGAAAAACGTGTACCACTTGATAAAAGGGACAAGCCAGGTGTGAGTGTGGTATAGAGGACAGATACCACTTGACCAAACAAAATGGGAATGTGATTTAAAAACGGATAACAAATCCCGCTTGATAACAAAATGGGAATGTGGTATAATGGACGGATACCACTTGGTGATGGCAACAAACAAAGTGGGAATATGGTGCAACAACGGATACCACTTGATGGAAAGAGCGAACCAGATGGGATTGTGGTATAAAAGACAAATACCACTTGATAACAAAAACGGAATGTGGTACAGGGGACCAATACCACCTGATGAAGGCAACAAACCGAATGGAAATGTGGTATAAAAAGCGTGGTACAAAAATTTTATTTATTTATTTATTTTTTATTTATTTTTTTCCTTCCCTTTTCTTTTCCCTTTTTTTTATTTTTATTATATTATTTATTTATATGTATTATTATTTTATTTATATATTAATTATTTTGGATACCCCTTGGTTATGGCAAAAAACAAAGTGGGAATGTGGTATAAAAATACCATTTGATGGAAAGAGCAAACCCGGTGGGATTGTAGTATAAAAGACAAATACCGCTTGATAACAAAATAACAAAATGGGAATATGGTATAGAGGATTGATACCACTAAATAAAAGCGACAAGCAAAATGGAAATGTGGTATAAAAAAAACGGATTTTATTATTTTTTTCCCTTCCCTTCTTTTTTTTATTTTATTTTTATTATATTAATTATTTATATGTATGTATGTATATATTTTATTATTTTTTTTTAATTTGGAGGTTAGCTTTGGTGAACTGAGCGCTGTGAACAAGCTATGGAGTGAAACAAGGACCATTATGGAAATAAGTAGTGAGAAATACAATGGATAATAAGGAAATATTAACAGAAAAAATTCTCAGCAATGAAACGCACCAACGTGAAAATGAAATTTGAATTTAATAAACAACAGGTAGAAAAGCGACACGACACCATTCAAAACAAGACCCGCAAAAGTGCACAAACAATGAATGTACCGCGAACGTATACCATTGAAGAAAATTTAAGAAAATGACGCCAGAATAATATAGATTTTTTTTTATTTTTGTTTATTTTTTATTATTATTTATAGAAAGATTGAAGATGAATTACGATAGAGTTAACGTTTTTTTTACAAGATATTTTCCTTAATTTTTAGAATTTAAAGTTAAGTAATGACAAACACGGAGAAAAGGAAAAGCGTAGAAAATAGCTGAAAATTGCAAAGACTCTGTTATCTATTATTCTATTATATTAAAATTAATTTTGAACAAAAAAAAAAAATTAGGAAAATTAAGAGAATTTTCATAATTTTAAAAATGAAAGATGGAAACCAACCGGCCTGTGCGAAAGTTGAACGTTGTATGTATGTATGTATGTATGTATGTATGTATGTATGTATGTATGTAAAAACCAAAACATGATGAGTGACACTGAACCGTCAAACATGTATGTATGTATGTATGTATGTATGTATGTATGTATGTATGTATGTATGTATGTATGTATGTATGTATGTATGTATGTATGTATGTATGTTAAAACCAAATCAGCGATGAGTGACACTAAACAGTCAAACTTCTGAAAAAATCGGTTAACAATTGATATCTCGTTATTCGCTCACGTCGGCGTTTAATTGAACATGTATGTATGTATGTATGTATGTATGTATGTATGTATGTATGTATGTATGTATGATGTATGTGTGTATTTGTGTATTTTATGTATGTATGTATGATTTATGTGTGTATTTGTGTATTTTACACTAAGTATGTATGTATGTGTATGTACGTATAAATATTTGTATATAATGGAGACAATTACACGCAATAAAGATGTATGGACGGATTGAAAGCGGAAGTGCCTGGAGATGATTGTGCATGCGTTCTTCGGTGTCATTAGGCTGGTCGTTTGTGGCCCTAACGATCTTTTAATCTCTGATGATGCCCAGATTTGAGGTGTGGTTTTGTGTGACTGTGTTGTCGACTTGTGGCTGCATGTGTATGTGTTGTTTTCTCTGTATGTGGTTGTTTGTGGCTGTGTTGTCGTGTGTGTGTGTGTGTGTGTGTGTGTGTGTTGTGATGTGTTGTTCCATCTTGTATGTGGTTGGGTGCGTTAATGGTGGGCGTATATGCGTGTGATTGCGTCCGTGGTGTTGGGTTCATGAATGAATGATTGTTTGTTTGTGTGTGTGTTGATGGCTGTACGTTTGTTTTTGTTATTGTGATAATGTGTGTAGATATATGTGGAAGTGTTTGTATATGTGTATAGTCGTTCGGATGTGGATAGTTGTGCAGTCATGCCGTTGTTTATGTGTCGATATTACATGAAAGCAAATTTTATTTTGCGTTATTGATAATATAAAATAACAAGAGCAGACGTTATATACGGTTATATGTGTGTATTGGAATATATATATCAGATTGTACTGGATCGGAATTGTTGATGAAAACAAGGGTAATCTACAAAATCTATGGAGGGTGATTGATAGAATTCTTTGCAGGAGTAGAAATGAAGATGTTGATGTAGATGCTAATGTGTTGTCTGCTAATCAATTTAAGGATTTTTTTGCGAAGTTACTGAAGTGTTAAGTGTTGAAACAGGATACAAAAACTTTGGAATGTCTAGACCCCATCTTTTTAGAGTTTGTAATCAGAGATACTTTTACTTCATTTGCAGCGGTTACCAAAGATGTTGTTATAATGGTAGTTAAAAAATCAACGGCAAAATTGTGTCAACAAGATATTATTCCAACGGACATCATTAAGAAACATGTTAATCTGTTTGCTCCTTTTTTGACAAGTTTGGTTAATCTGTCTTTGAGGACTGGTCAGTTTCTTGTGGAGTGTAAACATGCAATAGTGCGTCCTCTTTTGAAGAAGAATAATCTCAATCCTGAAAATTGCTATTTTGATGTATAAGATACTCACAGGTAGTGCTCCAAATTATCTGCAGGATAGGATCAACAGTGATTTGCCACGTCCGACCGGGATTCATCTAAGATCATTTGATAGGAATCGGTTGATAGTTCCTGCTACAAATTTGTGTATTCGTTCACGAAGCTTTGCTGTTTCAGGACCAACTGTCTGGAATGGTCTGCCGGCTTCGCTCAGGAACACTGGGTTGACCATGACATGCTTCAGAAAGGAACTAAAAACATTTTTGTTTTCGTTACAGTGATATAATTTTTTAAAATGTTCTATAGTGTTTTTTTTTCGTGTTGAATTGTTGCAATTTTTAATGTTTGTCTTTTCAATTTTTTTTACCAGGAATTTCTGGAAATTGTTCAATTTATTGAATTATTATCCAAATTCATAAAAAAAATTTTATTAAACTTGTAAACAACTTTTTAAAAGTTTTATGACAAATCGATTGAAACTTTCACAGCTTCTTCGAACAAAATTTTTCTGCTGGCAACAATATTTTGAACCCAAAAACTGTCAATGAGACCTTTTTTCCAAAATACATCGCTAGTTAAATAATCCGAAAACCAAATATGCGATATTAAAATAAACTTGGCATCATCACTGCTTGAAGTTGTTTGAATTTATGACAAAGTTTTTTTATTGTGATCCAAGTAAATTGATGTTGATGGGCAAGCAGTTTCTGTTGGATGTTCCGATCATACAGATTCCGCGTTGTAATACGAAACTATCAAAGTTTATCTAACTCTGTTATTATCCAACAAATTTTTTATTTTAACATCCAAACATATATAAATATCACCTTAATTTTTTGTCTATTCATCTATCAGTTCATTTCCATCCATCCATTCATCCATCCATCCATCCATCCATTCATCCATCCATCCATCCATCCACCCATCCATCCATCTACCATTCATCCTACCATCCATCCATCCATCCATCCATCCATCCATCCATCCATCCATCCTCCATTCATCCATCCATCCATCTATCCATCCATCCATTTCTCATATAAACATCATCTTCTGAGAAAATTTAATTAGTAATTCACCACACGCTGAACTTCACAGAAAATTTTTAATGGCCAACCAAATTGAGCAACGACTTTTTATACTCTTCTTATATATATAAATGTATATTTATAATTTATATATATATATGTTTGTATAGTTTTATCATTTATTTGCCCATAAACGGATCTGTCGTCAACATTTTATGAGGTCATGAACGTAACTACACGGACGTTTATATACATATGCATATGTTTATATATACAATGCCACCTCGAAAACAAATAGCCAGCCCAAATTTCAACCACCCTATAGACTTCAACCACAACTTTCGCTGCACAATATTAACTTCAGCCACACCACAAACTTCAAACTATAAACCACAAAATTTTCATCAACCACGTTCACAAGAAAAATCTGGGTATACTTATAATGCATGGAAAGAGAAAGTAGTAACGCCACATGGAAACAGATGAATCAGCAATGTTACATGAACAACTATGGACAACAAACCATATAAGAAACAGCACTAACAAACGAAGATAGGCAACATAAAAACATTCAAAATCATCAAAACAAACAACAACAACACAAAAAGGTACAAACTACACATTACAATAAACACCGTCACCAACACAACTGAAACAAACAAACAACAACATAAAGCAAAACCAGCACAACCAACGTAAACAAAAAACAACAACACAGACAAC